AAGCTGGGAACGTATGTGGTCTGCATGGCTTGAAGCAGCTGCATGTACTTCGATTATTACAAGAGAGCGACCAATTTACTTGGTCTGGGAAGGTTGGTCAGTATGATTTGATGTCTAATGTTGGCTTCGAATGCTAACTAACTTTCGATTACAGCAAACTCTTCTCACACTTACCTCCATGCTCTTTTGAAGATATTTTGTGCTACCCCCACCAGAGCAGTCCGGAGCACCCTCCGGTCACTGCTTATGAAAACGCTTGCTGAAAGCATACTTTTCCAAGAACACCCGGACGAGGTGGACATGTGGCTCGACTCCCTCCCAACAACCAGTCGCAGCACAGGCTGCGAAGCTCCAGATGGTGCCGCCCTAACCGACGAATCTGACGGTGTTGCCACCTTTCTAGATGACTGCGCGCAGCGATGTATCAAAACACCGTATCGATACTTCGAGGCTCTTCGAGATCTTTTACCCATGGAGAACTCAGCAGTCGATGTGCCGAGTCCGTTGCTTATGACCGTACTTGAACAATTTGCTGCGAAACTAGCAGGAAAATTGCTCACCCCATCGGATGCTCTTGCCATTGCTGGGTTTGTGAGAAGGCTGATGTTCAAGCTGGCGAGCAAGCAGAGAGACTTGACATTTCTGCGTATATTCTCTGGGAAACTGGATGATGCTGCGATGCCAGAAAACTTGTTTTCCAAGTATGCTTGCGTTACCGCTGCGATCCAACGTGAAATGTCGATCATGCACACGTGTTTCAGTCATTTTCAAGGAGTGCGTAGACACTCGGACTCTAGCACGAGTCCAGAGGTCGAAGACTTCCTGACGAAAATCGAAGGAGTACCTTTGCGTATGTACAGCCTGTATATATCACTGCGATGGCAATTGACTACGTTTTTCTAGCTGAAAGCTCAAGTGCACGCATCCACAACGCATACGAACTTGTTGACTGGTTGCGCTTCGTAAATACCACACTTCAGCCCCAGGATATCGTCCGACTTTCGGTCGTGGTCGAACGCTTCCATCCTCCTGCTCTCAAGGATCTATTCGAGAACCTTCACCCCGCGAATTCGTTGATGTGGGAAGGCGGTGATCTAAAGACTGCCTCAAGGCAGCTCCTCCAAGTGTATGTCACCTGCCTTCCCTTGATTCCTGCGTCGTTGTGAATGCTAAATGCTTCACAGGCTTTCCTTTGATTGGATGTTCACGCAAAGCTCTGAAGCTGACATGGCGAACCAGCAATGCCGCGAAATCATGCTGGAGTGTCTGTTTCTCCGATCACCAGCGCGGGTTCAGATTGAACATGCCGTTTGCATCATCGCACATGATATCTGCTCGATCATGGAACAGGAATCTCTTGTGTGCGATCTGCTGCTTTTGCTATCCACGATCATGCAGAGGGCGCTCGGTGAACTCTCAAAGGAAGATGGCGCTCGGCTGAAGGAGTTTGTCCTATTGAGGGCACCATCTATCCATGGCCTGAGCATGTCTAGAGATCTGCCTGATGCCATGCAAGAAGGTAATGTTCTCAATGCGATTTTGCGCTCTTTCGTTAATTGTTTAAGCAGCTCTATGTGCGCTTCTCGATGTGTCTCTTGACCCCAGCAGTGAGGGTGATAGGACAATGGTCTCCTCGATTTGTACGTACTGGACGGAGTGTTTCAAGGCATCGATTCGGTCAGGATCACTGCAGACGGTATGATAACTCCATACATGAGTATTCACGTTGCTAATGTTTCTCCAGGGACGTTCCATCAAGTTATGGCTACGTTATACAGACCCAAACAATCTTCTTAACATCATTGATCAGGCGTGCGATGCCAATAACGTTAACCTTACGCCATCTGTGCTGGAGGTTCTGGAATTTGCCCTCGATACCCTGAGGGGTTCTTTCACATGTGCTAGTTCGAGGATCCCTATTTCGCAGCTCCTCAGGTTATATCGGGCATTGCCTGACTCCGAGGTGCTCGAAGAAATGATTGCTGTTGCAGTGACTTCGCATCTTCCGCCATGCCATGACGGGCGGCATCCACGAGCGAAGACATCGAACTTTTCCTTATCACCTCGATACCTGCCAGCTTCCGGAAGTTCACAATTGGGCGTGCTGCCCTCTGATTTTGTCTCGGGGCTGTTTCAAAAGGCGATTTGGACGGAATCTACGTCACGCATTGTGTCCGGGCTGGTTTATGCACAATCCGGTGTTGCAAAGGAGTTTGTCGCGTGGTTCAACTCGGGAGCTTGGACGACCATTCCGTTTGAGCATCTGTTACCAGCAGTGCATGCTGTTTTTGATTCCCTGGGTGGTGACGCCATCGATTTGTTTCACGATACCGTTACGATTGCCCTCTTTGATCGTATGTTGCCTCAGCGTCGTCACCCTGAGGGCCTGAGAAAGTTGTGCATCCGCTGCATCTGCATCCTAATCAAGGCAGATCTAACTCGGAAGCAACAGCTCGCCAGCCTGCTACAGAAGAATATGCAACGCCTTGCTGTCGACCAATTCGCCCTCGAAAGCGTATCCATTGCCTCTCGCTTGCAATCATTTTCCCCGCTGGCCGATCTCGTGACAGATTTATCTGAGCGTGCACTGCAATGGGCTGTGCGCCATTTCTCTGGCCCTGAGGGCGAAGATGAAGAGGACCAATTGATTTTAGCCCAATTAAGTGAGTCGGATTGAATGGCCTTCTCATGTACCTTGGCTAATTCATCTTGGCAGCGAAAATTGCCAAGCAAGGATTAAAGGCAAAAACATACTTCGTAGAGCCTCTATTGACTACTATCATTCAGAACCGACTTGCCGATACTGTTGCTCTCGATATTGGCATTGCCTTACTGCAGTGCTCGCCTCTTAAGGTAATCTTACCTTGTCATCTTGCGTGGCTTCGGGCTCAATATGGATGTTTTCAGCCCGTCGTTGTGAATCGAACTCTGCAGAATATACTTCAACACCCTCAGTTCTTTAAACTATGTGGTTCTGAAGAGTCATCTCGAAGAGATCTTATCATCCGTTTTATCGCTGCCCTATTCCGACTCCACCCCACTAACACATGTCAGCCTTCACATATCATGCCACTCGTGCGCATATACGGCGGAACCATCTCCGCCTCAGATCGAAACCTATTGAACATTTTCCGTTTATTCGAGGTTGAAAGGCTGACGCCTATATCATCTATTCTCGTCAAGTGGTCACCTTCCCCTGGTATATCTATTTCAAGCCAGCTTGATGCAGTACAAAACATGGATCCTATACGCATGTTGAGAACCTGTCATGTGTTCCCGATATGGAGACGTATGTCAGACGAACAGGAGGACGAGAAGGTTGGCCTGGATGAGCAGGTTTATGATCCCTTATTCGTAACTTTGCTCGTTGCCCAAATGCTTACGCATCATCCTCCAACTTCGTCGCTTGAATGGGTGCAGACGTTCCGATCGAACGTTTTTAGTTTGCTTATCCGCTGCTTGTCTGCAAAAGATGAAAAGATTCGTGAAGCCTCGCTTGGTTTGTTGGCAAGGGTGTGGAAATCTGTAGAGGTTCGTGTGTTATCTTATTATTCGCTATTAGGTTGCTCACTCCTTGTCAGCTTTCGGAAATGCAAGAAAAGCAGCACGCGCTGTACATCTTTAACCTCCTGAAGAATCTTATCAAGCCCTCATCCGATGGTCCTCCCTTACGGTTACCTTCGTTTGCATCGTTGATCCTATCTCACGCTCTTCGTGGGGTGTTTTATCCTTCCAATTTTATCTACCCACGCACGGCGCGTTTCCTTCTTCAGCGCCCAGAACTCGACGTGACTGATGTGCCAATGCTATATGGCATGCTTTATGGCAGTTCGGATAACTGGAAGAAAGAGCGTGGATGGATCGTTAGGTTCCTTTCTGACGGCATGATGAGTACAGAAGATTGGAAGGTGCTTAAACGTCGACATACATGGGATCTTCTTTCCAGTCTTGTGCAGAGCTCAGTTCGCGATCAAGCGTTACGACGCGCAGTACTGGAGGTCCGTAGTGTCACACTCTCATCAACCCTTGATTCAAGTTATTTTACAGGTGCTCGCCAACCTGACTTCCAATGTCCAGGCAACGACTTCCCTCGTTTTGAAGTCATCTCTTCTATCCTGGATCGAGATGCAAGTAAAAATACCACACATCAACGAAGACACTCTTGCCTGGCTAAAGATCCTTGAAAACATTCTGACCACAGCCAATACTGCGAAACTGCAGCGGGCTACGAACGGTCAGTGGCAAGATGCTCTGTGCAGATGCTTGTCGCTGGTTTTACAGAATTGCAATGGTATGGGCCTTGCTTTCGCTCTGGATTGAAGCTCATTCTCTTGTCCTGCAGCGCCATCGCTCTCCATTCTTCAACAAGCCGCTCGCGTCACGCTACGATTAAGTCTAGCGTCTCAGACCTCAATTTTTCGTCTGTCGGATGTTTTCAGGGTGGTAATTGGCATTCTCGAGCAACTGGAGCATTGCATAGATTTCAGCAAGTCTAGTTCGGTCAACGGACCTGCCATCCCTTCTAAGCCGCCGTACCACGGTCATGGGTTGCATATTCAACCACCAGTACCCGATCCCCTGCGTGCGTGGGGTGGTATTGTCGAGGACTTATGGCAGGCGAGTATGGGGCTCGACGAAAATTTTGTGAAATGGGATGCCCTGACAGGCAGGCTACTACATTGGAGAGGTATCGTCGGTGAGGATGGCAGCCCAATGGGTGAATGGGCGAGACTGGAAGCTGTCCGAGTATCTCTGTCATCGATAACCAACTGCGTCCAATCAACGCAGATGGCGTGATAAATTATAGCCTGGAAAATGGTGTGAGATAGGGTGCAGTGGACAAAATATCGAATATCTGTTCTCCCAGTTGATTAGGTGCATGCTGAGGCACCTGGTAAAAGTTAATTACTTGATGTCAGAAGTGATTGAGCTGCATACCAAGTGTCCTGCTCCGTTGATGCGTGTGACAGAGGAAAAACGCCTGCCCGAAGCCGGATCAATCAAGGCATCCTGCACTGCGCGGGGTCTACAGCACCGCATATCTGTCCGTCAAGGATCAAGCTTGTGTTTGTAGGAACTGCGTACATGTATTCATTGTTGTCTCCAAACACAATGTTGACGGGAATGCGTGGGCAAATCTTGTCCAAGTCCTGCACCGGTCTGGTTGCACCGTCTGGTTCTCTGTACATCGTCTGAAAGTGGAGCTCAGTGGGGCTGACAATTCACAGGGGATTTTGGTCGCGTACCACCTCTTCATCACGTGAACATGCTAAGCTGATACCATCGTAGGGCGCTTGCAGGTGACGCGCACCTGGGTGAGTCCGGAGTCCAAATTTCTACGAGGTCATTAGGGTGACAATTTAACAGAATGACAAGAGGATGTACGATATACAAATCCAGGACGCGCGGGTCCCAGCGTTCACATCGCCTTTTTGATTTCAGATCCTGGTACGCGTGTTCTCTGGAAGACCACACATCTCTTCGCTCGTATGCATATTTAATGAGGATACGGCGCAATGGCTCCACAGCCTCCGCAGTTGGACTGAGCATGGGTTCCACGAGGATGACGGAAGAAAAATTGAAGGCTGGTTCAAGGTTCTGCAAGATTGTTCTGGCACAAGACCTGTGAATCGAGAGCGCGCAAGTTGTGAAGGATAAAAGGCTAACATAGCAACTCCACCAAGAGAATGGCCTATTCCGACAAGACGCTGGGTTCGGAAGTCAAACATGGGTCCGAACCTTGGTCCAGCAGACATAAATCTATGGACCGCATCTGCATATCTGCGGCATCCGACTTTGCCAGTTCAATTGTTCGTCTGTTATCGCGGAATCAAACTTGGGACTCACAGGTGCGGTAAAAAGGTGCCTGCTGAAGTGCGTCATCGTTGAGAGCAGCAGATACACCATGGTTAGGGCAGTCGATTGCCCATGCGCATTTGATTTTCAACGATTTGGATGAATGAGCTGAAGAACACTGGAAGATACGTTCCAGGGTAGGCTGCCAAGTCTCCTTATGAAAGCTGGTTGAATGAAGCAAAACAAGTGTGACTGCTTCCTCATCGTTCCAGTGAGCTTCGAATTCCGGTAGCCAGTACTTCTTGGCAGTGATGAACAAGGGATAGTGTTGGTCAGGTTCAAGTAGAGCTTCACATTCCAGCAAGTTCGATGTGGGCGACATGTTGGTACTGTTGTCGCCTGTGAGGCATTGAGGAGGTGACGAGAGTGATGGTGAACCACGTGGTGCCGTATTAATAGTAAATCTTGAAGCTTCTCAGCATGTTCACAGGGGCACATTGTCCTGTCCTCGGTTTCGGTCGTCAATCAGCGTAACCAAATGCGAGGACAATTGAGGTTTTCTCCAATCCTTCCAATTACAAGTTACCCTGGAGACTTGGAGAAGAGCAAGCTGGTGACCTCGTGGCCGCTAGTAGCAGTAATGCAACAAATTGAATGACTCGGATATCTTCTCGCCGGGTACGGCTAGTTCGCGTCTTGCAATGAAACGAACATATCATTATATTATGATAAACCATCATATCCTTCTCTTACCCGGCCCGTCAGCCTGTGTCACATTCATAACTGAAAACAGCTCTTGGGGGGGTTTGAATTTGACCGTCGTACCGCAGATGTTCGCAGTACACTTGGCTTTTTGTTCTCAGCCTAACTCGAGGCCTAGGCTGTCAACCTCAGGAAATTAATTAGCACGTGATCGGGTCGTGGTGTCCTAATTCGATATATATAAACGCGTCTTTGCATTCGACTAACCTCGACCCTGTTCCAAAATTCCCTCTTTGTCTTGAGGATTTTTCGACGTTTGCTAGCCCGATGGTCAGTGTATCTTTTTTTGGTAGCTTTATCATAGAAGTTCTATCTTGCTCACTCAGTTTTGATTTTAGTTCGTGGTGCGTGCTGGTTGAGACTTATTTGAATGTAGCTCCGCCAACGGGTCTTACAGTTTTCTGGCGGAAATTCTGGATCGGCCCTGCCTCCGAGTGCAACAGCTACCACGAGCAAGGCAGGCAAGGTAACATCGCGGAAACCTGCTGCCCGTCAGCCTTCCAAGCAACCTCCGCTTGCATCCGGTGTGGCCTCGACCATTCGCAAGACTTCAACATCGACAAAACCAGCTCCGTTTACGTTCAGGACTAATGTAACGAACTACACTATTGTGAAAATTAATTTGTTAACTGATACTGTAAATTTCTTAGCTCTCTTCGAGGACTGATAGGTCGAGCTCCGGAACGACCCTCTCACCAAAAGCAGAGAAGTCGGCCAACACCGAGGCGCCCCTTGTGGTATGTACGGGTTGGACCTTGAGAATTTATGCAACTTAATATCTTGACAGGCAAAGGAAGATAACATTAAACCTCAAGTAGAACCCGCAGAAGCAATCAACGAGCCTATTTATGACCTTGACAAAGTGAAAGCTGCCAAAGTTTGTTCTTCCCATACCTGTCGGCTTTCTGCTTCTCATCGATGCAGGTGGAGTTGAAGCACCTCCGGAGTTTGACAGTAGACGCATCAGACCTCAGTAAGGACCACGAACTACAGGCTGCGCCTCTCATTACAAGAGAAGCGTATATCACTGCTGGATACAAGAAACATTCCACACCATATGGAGTGATGGGTCAAGTGTTGTCAATATAGTAGGTCGTTTCTCTCTTTCTGTGTCCCTAATATTCATGTTCGGTGCCAAGTTCGAAATCGAGTGCCTACGTCCCTGTAGATCCTAGACTCTATGTCAACACAGTGAGTCTTTCTGAACATTTCGCCTGTGTATCTCACGAGCTCTCCAGAATACGCCATTCACCGCTGTAGTGTGCGGAGTGCAAGGCTCGGGAAAATCACATACAGTTTCGGTCCTCCTTGAAAACATGCTCATTCCGAAACTCCAGGAGATAGGTTCCCTGCAGCAGTCTCTAGCAGGACTAGTCCTCCACTTTGGGGAAGGTGGTGTCGGTTCTCTTCCGAGCGAGGCTGCATGGGTCGGTGTTCCGTCAACGGAGGGTGTAAGAACGCCGAAAGTGCGAGTCTTCGTGTCGAAGTCTTCTCTCAATACTATGAAGAGCGTTTACGCCCCTCTTGGAAAGAATGTTGAAGTGGTTCCCTTATTATTCAATGAAACAGAGTTAGATGCACAAGCCTTTCTATCTATGATGGCTGTCGGGTCGTCAGATTCCGCGCCACTCTACATCCAGATCGTTTTGGTGAGTCATAAATGACAGTCTATCCAGGGTGTGTTGTAGTCTGAACGCTTCTTCCCAGAGCATTCTCCGAGATTTGGGAGAGTCATTCTCGTACAAACTATTCATGGACCGACTTGACGACGAGAAAAGATCGTTCAACCCCGCGCAAGTTGCCGGTCTTGAGCAGCGTTTAGCCCTCTTGAATTCGTTCATGGTGTCCAATGGTCCACAGCCAGCCGCTTTTGGTTCAAAGACGTACGCCAATATCAGTGGACCCAGGTCAAATGTTCTTGCTCCCAAATCGACCCCGCGTCGTTTCGCTGCAGGACAATTGACCATTGTTGATCTATCGGATCCATTCATTGACACAGGCTCTGCGTGCGGTTTGTTCGAGATCGTCACGAGGCTATTCGTGAGGGCTGAGGTTGAAACTGGAAAGGTTCTTGTTGTCGATGAAGCCCACAAGGTATTCCGCTCGATATCTCTTTAAAGTTGTGCCGTTCTAACGTACTATAGTACTTGTCCACAAACAGAGGTGTTTCAGGGCTAACCAAGGCCATTTTGACCCTCACGAGAGAGCAGAGGCATTTAGGGATGCGTGTCATCATTTCTACTCAAGGTAACTCCAGCTCTCGGTCGGACGAGGCGGTGCTTATACAAGAACACAGAGCCAACTGTGGTACCACCTGTCTTGTTAGACTTGTGTACTGTCGCTATTATGCATCGGTTTTCTTCTCCGGCGTGGTGGGACCATCTCGCACGACACATCTCTGCTGACGTGTCTGTAGATGCAGCATTTGACACGGTTGTTAAGCTCCAGGTACGTCAGATGTTTGAACAGGAGGCTTTGCTAATATATAGCAAACGTCCAGACTGGTGAGGCGATTGTTCTTGCGCCATCGGGGCTTGGCGTGTTCCCCCAGGATGAAGAGATTCCCAGCCCTGAAGGTGATACCCCAACTGTCTTGAAGATGAGCCAATTTGGAAGACGTTACATTATCATGAAGACACGTGCTCGTGTCACGAAAGACGGAGGGACCTCGGTTCTTGTTGTTCCTCGTCAAGAAGAAAGCAAGGACTCCGAGGAGTCAGAGAGCGAAGAGGAAGCATCTGAACCCGAGGAATCTGAGGACGAGGAATCTGAATAAGTTAATCACATATCTTACCTACTATTATTAATAACCACAATATTTGCTGATTCTCATGATACTCACTTCATTATATCTAGTTCATACAAGCATTTTCGTTGCGAGATTGTTTACATCCATTTACTAAAGCCTTGTAAATTCAACAAGAACAAACTCTGAATACTGCCGTGCGTCACTCGCCACCAAAGCGAATTTTCCTATCATTCATTGTCTAGTACTCCCTTTACATTATCTCTGTTTGCCTTTGTTCTTTATGTCATGGCCGCCAATGTCAGAGTGCGGCGTCCAGCTACTCCACCACCCGGTCTTCCACATGTCGCTCCTTCGTCTCATAAATATCCACCAATACGACAAGACCACTTGAGCGCAGATGAACGACGTGAAGCAGCTTCCAAGGGGTATGGACCTGGGCGAAGAAGTCATTCACCAGGTGGTCTCAACATCACATCTGGGGAATGGAAACTGCTGGCGGTTGTCCTTCTAATTGCACTTGGCGTCAGGATGTTTCGAATATCGAAACCAGATAGTGTGGTGTGAGTGTACCAGATGTTCACTCTACTCATCTGACATATCCGTCAGTTTCGACGAGGTTCACTTTGGTAAATTTGCAGCGCGCTATATCAAAACGCGGTATTTCGTCGATGTGCACCCTCCACTTGCAAAGTTGTTGATCACTGCGGCAGCCTTCATATCTGGTTTCAACGGAGATTTTGACTTCAAGGAGATTGGGAAGTGAGTATGTCTCAAACGGCATCTTTCTATCGTTGAGCATCCATTGACTAGGGTATTCGAAAATGCACCATACGTGGCCATGCGAATGGTACCCGCTACGTTCGGAGTCGCAACTATCCCAATCGCATATCTCACTTTACGAGCTCTTGATTGTCGCGCAACCACTGCACTACTAGCATCAATATTTCTGACATTCGAGAACGGATTGGTCACACAATCTCGCCATATCCTACTGGATTCTCCCCTCGTATTTTTCACGGCCCTCGCCGTCTTCTTTTTTGTCGGGTTTTCGAATGAGGACAAGAAAGAGCCATTTACCAACCAGTGGTGGACATGGCTCGCTTTGACTGGTCTGTCCCTGGGCGCTGTCGTATCCTGCAAATGGGTCGGTCTCTTCACAATTGCGACGGTTGGTGTGTGCACTATGTTGCAACTGTGGCTTCTCTTGGGCGATCTTCGTGTTAGTCCAAGGATGTGGGCGAGGCATTTCTTCGCGCGGGCTGTTTGTCTTATCTTGATACCCGTCCTTTTCTACATGACCATGTTCCAGCTGCATTTCATTATTCTTGGAAGCTCAGGAGAGGGTGACGCGTTTATGAGCTCAGAATTCAGGCAGACACTGGGGCTGGGGATGGAGGACACGTATGCAGGTCCGTATATTGCGGCCATGCACATGGATGTGCTCATTTCATATTATCATAGATGTTGCCCTTGGTTCGGATATCACAATCCGACATCTGAACACACAAGGCGGTTATCTGCACTCTCATTCTCACAACTATCCTGGAGGAAGTGGACGTACGTATGACTCCCGTTTTATCTCATCTCTCATTAAATAGCTGGACAGAGCAACAAGTCACACTCTACCCGCATAGGGATGATAATAATCTCTGGCGAGTACTTAACGCAACAGTCAATAATTATGAACAGTACGACTACGAACACAAGCCTATCGTGTATATTGACCACGGCTCCCACATCAAGCTAAGGCATCTCGTGACCGACAGGGGGCTCCATTCACACGAAGTCCGCCCGCCTGTCTCGGATGTTGACTTCCAGAACGAGGTTTCAGCGTACGGCATGCCTGGCTTTATCGGCGACATCAACGATGA